CACTCGAGGGTTTTATTTGAAATCAACGGGTATTTCGCTCGGTTTCCGTTACGTGTACGACAAAACCGGTAATGTTACATCGCTTGTTGATATGGAAAAGCTCATTCACTTTTTCCGAGCTTCTTCATGTACAATTAGTGTGTAATTTGTATCTATTTTTATCACCCATCTTAGTGTGATTCATAGTCCCTATCAAATCCCTATAAATATCTAGACCGGCGTTGAGTTACGCGCCACATCAGAGGCTAAGACCGAATATTCGTGGAGTTTATTTGACTCCAAACACTAGTAAATAATACTGGGCAGTGTCAGTATCAAGAATTACAATCGCACAAACAACTTCATCTCCACTCGTGACGTTTCCCAGGGCAAATGCTTGAACCAATGAAAGAAACAAAGTGAATCGAAAAGCGAACGTATAAACTATAGGAATTCACCACTCCTTCTGGCGAGAAGTGAATTAACCTCCGAACACACAGGAGTGGGATAAAATACCAATCCAAATAGGGCCAATCAATGTTATTATTATTATTAGTATTATTATATTTCCACACACGTCTGAATCCAGACTGTGTGCCAAACAAATCATGGTACAATAATCTTTTTAAAAGGAAAGACGTTACTTGATTTGTCCAGGCGAACACAGGTGGATTTTCTTCATAAATCTACAACCGGAGCCTTCGGTTAGTGAAAGCCTGACGCGCAAGGCAACAGGACGTAGTGCGTAAACCGCAATTCATTGGGAGCCGGTGTCCAGTTCACCGAATCATACGCCCTTTGGACGGAGTCAAACGTCCACGGTGCCCAATACACTTGGAGATCCAGTTGAGCCGGTGATCGTTGTCACAACCGGGATAATGTGTGGTTTTTCACCTCTTCTTGATTGGTTTGGAATCCGGGTTTTTGGCCAACTCCCCTAAGTGATCCACCAGTGGTCCACCAACCCGGATGTCGGCTTTTCGTCCTCTCACTTTGGTGGGAAAACACCGCCCCACGGGAAGGCAGTGAGTAGGGCTTCCTCAGCAGAGGCTATTTGAGACGCTTGGTCGTGTGGGAACATTTAGCCAGGTGCAAGGGAATGGTGACCAGTAAAACCCTAGACACCCACACCGACCATACTGAGGCCAATTAAACTGGTACGACAATCAGATAACAGTTAGACGACATAGAGAATCATACTATATCAGGGTTAGAAACAGCGGTCACCATAGGAGGTGAGACCATATGAGTTTGGTAGGCGAACAAAGAAATGTTGTCATTCGTGGTGAACGAGAAGCGCGTGCCTGAGTACCCAATTTTGGGTGATCGATAATTTGCCTGGGTTCAAACAATGACGTATAGATAACTAGACAAATGTGGACAGGAGAGCGTGCGTAGAGTAACAAGCAGATTTACCAGTCCCTAGGACCTAAATTTTAGTTTGGTGAAGCGATATTTTATATCCTGAGACTTGAAGAAGCTGGCTACACTATACGTGTGAATAAGATTGGATGAACTCGGCATTGAGCCGAAAAACAACTCGAAGTTTCGTAGTGCCAACTAGGTTCACACTTGAGACCCTAAAAGTTGGCGCATGTCAAAGACACTGTGTTCAACTGTTTGACCGCCAATTTCTCCCCCCTCACCCTCTTTTGAATCTTCGTTTCTCATCTGTGTCTAGTTCCTCTCCTCCTTGTGAAGGAATGTTCCGGTAGTATGAAAATATGCCGTGGTTGTCTTATTCACATTGCTGATAGGTTGAGAGTGTACGATGAACTAAGCACATCGGTAGTTGTTGTGAAGACGTGGTACTGGTAATCTTTTTAAATCCAAATGTCCGTGTATCATCTGGAGTTGTCTCAAGCTGTCCCGTTGACAAGGCCCATGCACTTTTTCTAAGCCACATAGGAGATGTCTGGATGATCATCACTCAGCATATTTCGGAATCTCTCGTGTTGGAAACGTGGAACGGGGACATGGTGTTGTGATATACTTCATGTTCCCATTGCAAGATAACCACTCGTCGATTGAGTTGTAAATTGACTTTATTTCATCCTATTCCCTAATAATACCAGGTGACTACCGGATCGTGCACCTGAATGTTAGAAACGCTCAATTTTCTCGATTCAGGTTCAGCGATGAGAATATGGTCATGTTTTATGTAATGATTATCAACGGTATGACCAATAAGAAAATGAGATAATTTTTTATAACAGTCACGAATGTACCGAAATATGATGCGAACAAACTACCGGTGGCGGTGCACTGCTAACACAAATTCTGTTACCCCGTCCGATTCGCTCCGGAACCTCAGTACACACTGCGAACAACACTCCCAGCTCGGAGAACACACCACCACCAACATCCACACCTCAATACACCTGTTTGGGTTTAGTGCTGACCGGCGTTAACTAAACTACGTTTCATGAGAGTAATGAAGGATTTGATTCAATTTCAAAGAGGGAATTCGTGGTATATGAAGCAAATGAAGCGTGAACTGAAAGGCTAGGAGGCACAGCTGGACAGTTGTTTCGACCTGGTTGGATCTGATCAGTAGCGGTGCAAATCCANCCCGAGACCTCACAGGCAAAACGTACGCTACCCACCGGGCAGCTGATCAGACCGTTTTTTTTCTCTAAATTTTCCATTTACATAACTTTTCTAACTATATACCTCACGTTACGTTCAAGACGGTCTTTAGTGCAGCAAATAAATTTTCGATATACCCACCTGATCAACAATCTCCAGAGGTTTTCCGTTGGCTTGAGATCACAAGTACAAGTACTCTAAGACGGGGATTCAACGAAAAAGTTGTCACTTGTTGGGTCAGATTGGTTGAACAATTTTTTTTAAGGTTATGTTCCATCTGTGTACTCTATGTGTTGACAGTGCCAGTGCACTTTACGCTCAGTGTGAACTTAACAGTCAAGTTTTTGATTTGGAATACTGGTCGCGAATAAATGGCTGAGTCGCGGTGAGCGAGGGAGTTACTGCTCCATAGTACGGAGTGGTACTCGTACAAATCGACGTGATTGATGGCGGCCGCATAGTTTTCGACTCTGATCCCTCCCTCCCCCGTGAAACAGAGTAGTGCTAAACTAGAATACCTTTTATTGATCCCTCTTTTTCGCTGATTTTAAACTGTTTGAGAGTTTTTTTCTCTCTCTCATAGCAAGAATGTGAGCGGTTGAATTGTAGCGTGCTTTGACCCTATTCGTTCGTGTGCGCTGTAGTCGAGAGATGTATTTCACCAGGGGATC